TCTCTTGAAGTCCAAGACTCTAGTTTGACTATGTTCTATTGCTTGTGCTTCCATAATGTTGAATTCCAATATTGCATGATCACTACCTCCCAAGGTTCCTGTGGCTTCAACACCTTCTATCATTTCATCTCTGTTAGTGAGAATTAGATCCAAAATGGCTAATCCCCTAGTTCCCTTCTCTACTTTTTGGGAGACAAAGGTCAGGAATCTGTTTGATCTTCCACTTGGTGCAGAGTTTGTCTCCCAGTTGATGTCAGGGTAATTAAAGTCCCCCATTACTATGGTGATGTGCTTCCTACATACCTTAGTTAGCTGACTAGCAAAAAGTTCATCTATTTCCTCTGTTTGGTTGGGTGGCCTGTATACACCTATGGCAATGTCATTTTTTCTCCCTTTTATATTGACCCAAATGCATTCAACTTTCCATCCATTGTTTCTTGTCCTGCCTTCAGGTGCTTTGGAAAATAAATTGACCCTCTCCTCTTTGTAGCAGCCTGTCAAATACTGGAATACTGCTATCGTATCCCCCCTAGTCCTTCTTTTCTCTAGACTAGCCAAACCCAAATATTGCAACTGTTCTTCATATGTTTTTGTTTCTAGGCCTTTAATCATCTTAGTTGTTCTTCTCTTTCTAAATTCTCAACATCTGTCTATCCCACATTTTTCTTGCTTACCAAGAAGTAGGTTGTGATCTACTTTGTCAAATGCCTTGCTGAAGTCTAAGTCTATGTCCACAGCAGTTTGCTGGTCAACTAATTTAGTCACTTGTCAAAGAACGAAATAAGATTCTTTTGGCATGATCTGTTTTTTCCCCTTTTTTGACAATGGGAACCACTTCAACTCTTTTCCAGTCCTCCAATAGTTTCCTGGTGCTCCAGGATCTTTGAAAGATATGATTCAATGGTTCTGAGATCACCTCCGCCAGCTCCTTCAGAACTCTGGGGTGTAATCCATCTGGTCCTGGTGACTTACACTTTTCTAGGGCAGACAGGAGTTCTTCTACCATTTTGTTGCCTACAGTATTTTAATTTGTATTCCTCATCTGTCGATTATGTTTTTGGTAGGTTGGACTATTTTTTCCTTTTGCATGAATGCAGATGCGAAGAATGAATTAAGAAGCTCTGCTTTCTCCCTGCTGCCTGTGGCTTCCTTCCCATCTTCTCGCATTAGTAGATAGATTGTTCCCTTGACTTTTTTCTTGATTGATAATGTTGAACTTATTTATTATTTTTGACATCAGTTTCAAGTCTTAATTCATTCTGAGCCTTAGTTTTCCTGGCTTCATGTTCGCAGATTCTGGCTATATGCTGGTGTTCTGCCTTAATTATGTTTGCTCTTTCCTTTTTATTCTTATTGTTTTTGTCTTTCAGCTT